AGCTCTCGGTAATATAAACACAAAAATAACAAAAGCTGCAATTGGACAATGAGATTAAATTCAATATATATAATATAATGTGTAACAGACATAATTTAAGATCCAGAGCATATTATTTAATATTGTATTTGAAAGCACTTGTAATATTATTGCATAAAAATAATCGCACAAAATCCACTCCAATATTTGCGACATTGCTCCAGAAAGGACAACGCACCGGAAGCGAAACCGCGGGAAATAATACGCCCGCAATCGGGGCCCCTTCGTTCCTGTCAATTATCCTGCCTTTTGTCGTTACGCGACGTTATTTAGCGCGACTGCGCCTGCGTGGCGAGGCGTTTGGCTAAACCCTTATCGTTATCGCTATCATCTTATTCCGCGAAAACGAGAAACCGTCGTTCTTTCCGAGCGACTCCTACGGCACCGGACATATCGGTTTGACAGAAACGCGCACTCCTTACGCGCGCCGAGATGACACCATTAATATGTGCAGTTGCACATTCTCGATATGTGAACTCGATCTAATCAGCATAACTAGCCTTCCACAACGTTCTTAACGAGCTTCGTAAAATTTCCACCTTGCCCCCTGTCCCTCTTTCTCTCCCCTTTCTTCGTCTTCCGTTCCTTCCCGGTCGTCCTAACTCCTTTCCAAGAGGATCACCCGGAGCGAGGAACCCGAGAGTGCGCCCAACCGATCTGGCGCTGTGAAACTTTAAACTGTCTAGGAAAATTGTGTTATCTTCTAGATACAGAATTGTACGCTTAACGCGCGCCGGACACTCGGGTAATTCCGCGAATTGAATCGACTGATAATCGTCACGCCCGAGTGCACTGGTCCGCGAGACTCGTTTTGAGAGATAAAGGTTAATCGGCGCAAGAGACTTAATTTTAGGACTGTTTTAGTGAAGAAAAGCGTGAATTAGAACTGTATCGCTCACTCAAAAAAAATATCTTACTAACGCAGCGAGATTTCTAGGTGTCGCAACAAAAATTTATCACTATATTCTTCCTATCTTTCGCTAACAGTTGAGATAGAAATTCTGTTTCTGTTATTTACATTGTTTAAATACAAAACATATGCGATCTCGCAGCATTGGCTATTCATTTATGTATCTCAGTTATTTTTTTGCACCTAGAAAGTGGTTGCTGCAAGATCACTTTTTTCAGTGGCTCATTTTTCAAGCAATTTTTTTTATCAGTAGTCGAGTTGCACAATTTACATTCATTTATACTGAGTGTTATGTAATATCCGCCTCACCTCTTATTTACGGATAGAGCGGACTAGACTGAGTAAAAAAATCCTTTACCATTTTGCAGTTGTTGCAATAGTTATCGAGTTATTAATTATTAAAAATCGCTGTTTTAGCCCGGCCTACCGCCCAATTCAAGCGCGCGGTGAGATGCGGCCGTCCCGCGATTGGCGTTGCTAGACGCGCGGCGAGATGCGGCCGTCCCGCGATTGGCATTGCTAGGCGCGCGGGAAGTTGTTTATTATACATAACCGTTGCCGTGTGTCATAAACAATTCTCCGTGTTCCTACACTGAAAAAAAATTTCTGGTTGAATATGGACGAATCAGATAATTCCTTTAGGATTTACCAGAATTCCTTTAGGATTTACCAGAATTTCTGTAGGATTACAGGAATTCTGGTAAATCCTAAAGGAATTATCTGATTCGTCCATATTCAACCAGAAATTTTTTTCAGTGTACACTGAGAGAAAAAATAGTCATTTTTGGAGCCAACCATATTTTTTATAATTCCTCCAACGTAAATTATGGTTGACCTAACAATGTGATAGTTCTCATAACCACAATATTGGTTGTCTAAACCAAAAATATGGTTGGCTCCAAAAATGACTATTTTTTTTTCTCTCAGTGTAGCAACGCCGATCGCGGGACGGCCGCGTCTTGCCGCGAGCTTAAATTGAGCATTAGGCTGGGCTAAGACAGCGATTTTTAATAATTAATGACTCGTTAACTATTACGAAAATTGCAAAATGGTACAGGATTTTTCGACTCAGTCTCGTTCGCTCTATCCAAAAATACGAGGTGAGGCGGGTATTACATAACACCCTGTATATGCGCGAAACACAGGATTTTCGTCGTTATCAATGAAATTCAACCGGGACTTTGTTAATCCTAGCAAGCCTGGACTCGAGGCAGTTTATTAGACACTTAAAAATATCGTTGCAAGTAAGAATCTTGCACATGCGAGCGAGCATCTATGTAGGTATTTCATATCTCAAAACAGTTCTATATTTTACGTTTTTCTCAAGTGCTCTTATCTCACGATAAAGCCCTTTTTATACTTGGGAGGAAAATAATACGGTATACTCGATGTTTTTTGCCTTCTTGTGACACTGCTCGGATTACGCCTTGTTAATGGGAAACGAGACACGTTATTGTGCGTGTCTCGCAAAGGCAACGGGAAGATCGAAGACGTCCATGGCAGAACGCGAGGGTACGGATCGGTGAAAGTCCGATTAAGGTGCCGATGTGAAAGCCAACGGCTAATTAATACTCTTTTAATCCGGCTTTCATTTATTTCATTTGTTTAACGATGTAATCATCGGGTGATAAATGACCAGCCGGAGAGCTACGTGCGTTGTGTCACCGACGGTAGCGTCGTTCGCGTTCGAGACGGCGGAAACTTTCGAGCGTAATTACGGGAATGTCGCGGGGGAAAAGAATTCGAAATGTCATTGCGTAACTTCACGGTTCGCTGACGAATTTTTACCTGCCGCCGGTTCCGTAAGATCCAAATATCACTGCACCTGCTGATAGCGCTTTTAACCTGATCCGCTCGCGAAAAAGTCGCAGGTCACACTGCTGGTTTTCTGCACTTACTTTCACCGCGTTCGTTTCCAGATTCGATACGGTTGCAGAAACTGCCGCGATAACTTATTATTATTAATGTTCGAACGATAGCAAAGTATTAATAGCTGGCATCGTTACATATAGTTGCGGCTATCGTGCACAATCACGTGTTGCTCGTGGTTAAAATCTTATTTAATTAGCTTAATCTCATGTTTGAAGAAATTAAAGTCAAATTAATTAAGCATAAAATTGTATAACATTAGAGTCGAAAAGAAATACGATAAGATGCGGTGAAAAGTTTAAAGTTTTCTTTCAATAAAATCTTTCTCTTTCTATAATATTTATAAAACATTTACACCTGTAGCAAATAATTGCGAAAAAATTGCACGACGTTAGATTACGAAGCTGACGTGTAATTATAATAGAATAATGTATAATTACAGAAATTTGGAAAGTAGAAATGTACAGAAATACATTTTATTCTAATAAAAAATCAATTGTAAGTCTAACAAGAAAAATGCAAATCACGGACGCATTTTATGAGATATTTTATGAATTTTAGTTTGCACATTCTCGCAGGTTGACAAGGCTCATGAACGCCCTGCGATTTATCGCGTCTGTGACTGTCAAAGTGCAAGTGATCTACGCTAAAGCGATAATGCGCCGTTTGCGGTCTATCAATTCGAGTTAGGATTCGCATCTGTCCTCGTTGACCGTAATAGATCGCATCGATTCTACTTAATCCGAATTATTATGTACGGCGTTAAGCACGCACGCTCGTAAATTCTGGGTTCAAACAATGATTGGCAACAGCAACGGCTCTCGTCGTCGGCGTTACGTGCACAATCTTGCACGGTAGCAGGTTCGGGGCGGAGAACCGCTTTGCCGAGTCGACGTTAATGCATCACCGGGCCGCGGAGGGAACACGAGTAGTAGTCGATTAGAAAACCGCTCTAACTATGTGCGTTCGCACCTTGCTCCACGCACGGATCGCCGGCGGCCGTTCTCATTAACGAGACCTCGCGTTATCGGCGCGTCGTCGAGGCTTCTAAAGAGCCTCGCGTTCAGATCCCCCAAAGCCTGACGAGAGACTATCGCGATCGCCTGCGGATTCATACGTGATCAACGTGATTGGCACCATCGCTGATGAGAGCCCTCGCGATTTTAATTGAGTGATGGATGAAGACTAGTACGCACTATTCATAGAGTCCAAGATGAACGAAGCAGCTTTTATAATGAAGCAAATCGGGAGTTTTCATTACCAGTTTAATTTCTACTTGCGGTTGCATTTAGTCGAGATTCGTGATATGGCGTATCAAAATCTGCTCTCAATTTTTTTGAGTGGAATTACTCTTTTGAAGTGAGATTTCACTTGAAAAAAATAATAAAAATTGTCGCCAGTCCGCTGTAAAGTGAAATTTCACTTTTGAATGAGTGCTGTCAGTCACTCATTACTTGGATTGATTCTTCAACTTTAGAAAGAGTGCTGTGTTTTACTAATCGATTATTATCAGTAGTACAAAATTCATGGACGAAAGCTTCGCTATTTCTTGCCGGAAATAATTCTACATTATTCTACAAAACTATAAAATATAACTACCAGAATCTAAGAAATTCTACGTAAATTTAAAGTGTTATAAAAATCAACAGAAAAATGCTAGAATTGGAACACTTTTGTTATTTCTTGCAATAATTTACAAGTAAGCAAATATTTTAATTCTTTAAGCTTTTCTTGTTTCTAAAATTTTTTTAACTGGTAAAGTTTTGTACTAATTTTTACAAAATTGTCCATTTTCATGAAATACCACTTGCAATAATTTCTTCATTTGAGGACATTATAATTTATGGTACTATTTCGTAGATATTTTTACAAAAAAATAATGTTTCAACGAAGATATAAAAATTTCTACAAGTTTCTATTTCAAGTCAGTTTTTTTGTAGTTATTTATAGAAATTTTTCCGAAAGATGCTATTCCGAGTCGCCACTTCCAATTTCTTCATCTTCTCATTTAACAAAATTAATGATCCCGTCTGTCGCGGATAAACAGAATGTTCGCAGCAACTGGGAGATTTTTACGCCGTTCGAGTCCCTTTTCGTTCCGATCTCGGCGCTTGAAAAGCCGGAATAACGAGTAACGAGGGGGAGGGAGGGGGGGGGGCATTGAAAAAAGGAACGACGATCATCCGGTATGGGTCTGTATTTCGTTGCCGTTAATGTCATCTCCAGAGGAAGGCCGTGACGCAAGACCCGGCGCAGATTAGCGTCGCAGGGTGCAGACCTCAGTACTGCGAGCCTTTGTCCTCCGGTAGCAAGAAGTAGATCGTCACGTCACCCCGAGGCGTCCTCGCGATCTCGCGGTGTCGGATGAGCTGTGTCGCGGCCAGCCCGTACATCAGGGTGGGGATACCTGGTGTACCATCGAACAAGCGTGAGGAGGCAACAAGTCGGAAAGGGGGATTATCGAGTCGTCGCATTGCTGAACCCGTTCGCCGTGGCTAATTCCAGATCGGTAGAGCACTCAATGGCACGAGACGTTGGCCGTGGAAGGACGACGTCGTCGTCGTGATCGTCGTCCCACGTTTCCCTCTCGGAAATTGAGCCGACTAAGACCGCCCGGCGATACGCGCGGTTTCTGTCGCGACGCCTTGTTCCGATCATTGCTTTAGATATACGGACTGAATTCAATTAATCAGCCGGGGCGATAGCTGCGAATTTACAAGGTGTCTCAGAACTCTCGATCTTATTGTTGGCCCCGGCGACGAGGTTCTTGGTCTTATTTCTCGAATTGAGACTCTGAGAACATTAAGTGTCTCCTAGAGCTCGAGTTTATTCGACTGAATTCTCTCCGGACTATTCTACCTTCGTCGTTACTCTCGCTTTTAATCGCCAACGAATAAAAAGAAAATCGTCGATACGCCTCGGCGTTTTCGTTAAAGCGATAGCCCTTAGAGATTCCAAAGCGCTCGAGGAATCTCGTTAAAATTAATATCGCGAATCCCGTGACATCTCGCGTTCGCGGTAATTATAGGATTTACGAGCTCGCCGGTTTATCGCGTCCGAGCGGCGTAAATGAACAAGGCCGCCTTCCCGAACGCGGGCTCCTTTTCTTCGCGAGCGTCCGGCTACCCGGCGCAACCTACCAAGGTTCAATATCTTGATCGCCTTGAAGAATCTGTCCTCGCCACTGAGATCCTGCGCCGGCCGTTTGCTGCAGTGATACTTGATGTACGGGAAGCAGCCGGTCCTAAGTACGTGGTAATTGCTGCCGCCCGCCGGCCAATTGAAGTGTGACATTCCCCGCTGATCGTTCACCACGTCGGCATATCGGACGAAGTACGAGGTCCAGGGGGGCTCGCCGCTTTGCAACAGGTAGCTCGTTAGGACCTGCGTTGCGGATAGCGCAATCACGCCGGGCCACTTTGTACACGCTGACTGATCGAGGAAATATTCCTCGGGGATCATCGCGAGCATGCAGGACAAAGTCGCGACCGTTACATCCCGTTACGACGTCTCTTCCTCGACCGCGTCGACTCGTTAACACCGCCGTCAAGCGGCTGGCCCTTCCGGCTTTCCGTGTGTATAGAAGAAATTAACCCGTCGCAATGAAAGTATCAAACCGGGGGAGGGGTGGGGGGGGGGGAGATTTTAAAAACCCGAGCCTGCCACTCGGAAACGACCAGCCGGTTGCTATAATGTCGTTTCTCAACACGATCATATTACTTGTATATTTGCAGTTTCACGTTACCGCAGGACGGGGATTAAATTGCACCGGCGGGAGTAACTTTGCACCGTAGTAAAGTAAGATTCTAAAATTATCCGATATTTAAGAAAGGGGAGGAAAAAATCGCAACGGATACTCTACGAAGATTTGGAGTTCGCGATCACGAGAGCGTAATAATTGTATATAAAAATTTCTCTTGCGGCGCAGACTGAAATAACTTTTAACCAAGTCTCTAGTAGCACAGTGTGCATTGACTATAAAACATTACCCGTAAATATTGCCCTTACGGAAAAGCAACGAAATAATTGCTAGAAAATTACTGTACATCAATAAATTCTAATTATTCAATTACTGACATACAGTAATTTTCTAGTAATTATTTCGTAACTTTTTCGTAAGGGTGGTTATTGGAAGTGCGTTGGCCAATATTTCCTAATGTAAAGCCAATATTGGTCACGAAATGAATGCAAATATTGCACGATAATAATTATTATATATAACGTTAGATTTCTATAGGAAATGCATTGGCCAATATTTAGCAATATAACATGAATATTGGTTCAATATAAGACAATTGCTAAATAGACGTATTGGCGTCCATCTTACAATATTGGACCAATGCTGGGAATATTAGATTCACGTATTTCCCAATATTGCGCCAACATATTGCTCCACCAGGGATACAATAATTAAGAGATACCCGACAGCTATCTTTACTGATAAAACCGCGAGAATCGGCAAGTTTTCCACATTTCGAGAAATGAAAATGGAAATATAAATCGAGAGTCACCGGCTTCTGCGGATAAATTGTACACCGCAAGTCTGATCCAAGACGGTAACAGCGCTCGGGAGGTAATTTGCAATTTGCGCAATCGCTCGGTGGAATACACAGTATATTATGTTCGAAACGATGGATTCTGGGGGGGGGGGGTTTGTTCGACTGGGAAGATTTGCGAGTTTATCACGGCCGTACGATCGCGCGGTGCCACGGGAATGGAAACACGCCAAGTGTAACACGAGCGTGTATTGTTACGTAAGAAAGTGTCTGGGGAAAGTGTGCACGGGTCCCCTGAGAAAAGATCTCCTTCGGACCGATAAAAAAAAAACACAACGCGTGAGATAATTAGGGGAGCGGCCGGATTAATTCGTGAGAAACCGGGAGGCACACTGACCTCTGATGCCAGCGGTTTCTTCTTCTTCTGCGTCTGGAATATCTTCGTCCAGAGATTTGCATTCCTCGTGGCGAACGGTATTCCCCGTTCGATGCGCAGGTTGACGATAATTCGCGATTGCATTTCACCGATCGATCCCGCGATCACATCTGCGCGATCTCCGTTGATCTAAAGTTATAAACAAACTGTGCAAAAATTTAAGTTTTACTAATAAAATTAATAAAAAAATAAATCCATCAAGGCGAGTAATTTTTCATTAAAAACCACAAAAAGCAGAGCGGATTAACATATGGAAGCATCAAGCGTGATTACGGGCCTTATTATACAATACCTAAGATGTTTGGCCATCAAACATAACATTCTCCCTTCTTTTATTGATTAATGTCACAGGGAAAATTTCGGTAAAATATTTATACCACAAACATCGTCACGCGAGATCTGACAATAATCCTCGAATCAGATCAGAAGTCTAAAAAAAATTGACGAGTTATCTTTCCATAATCGTGACGATCTGATATTAAAAAGTCTTCTCCTCTTCAGCTAATTTTACCGTAATGCGAGTATTGAAAAATTCAACGGGGGGAAACAAGGTAGCGGGGAGGAATGAGTAAAATTTTAGTCATCGAAGGAGAACGTACGCTCACGTCAGCCTAAAGACGTGCGGTTGGAAAGAGGAACTTCTGGGCGAGTCCGCACATAAATAGACGATGATAGAAGTAATCGCGTCGTACTCAATAGTATCGCTTATCGACCCGCAGGGTAGGAATTCGTCACGGTGTATGTCGTTCTGCCTTTCTAAAATAAACGCGCGTGCAAGAGAGTCGCTGAAAATGTCAAGGTTAACGAGGTTCAGTACGATCGCACGGATGGAAGCGATCGTGTCCCGCGGTGTAACGTTAGCGTTTCTGTCTTTTACGCCTGTTCGCGTCGGTGCGGAATGAGTAACAACGTAATTGATGGCGCGCGCGCGTCAACTTTTGCACATCAGCGTGCGTGAATTCGCCGCTATGCGGTTCTGATTGCTTCATCGAGGTAGTCGCGAAGTTCCAGGAATACTTTGAGCGATGGCTGTCACAATTGTGCGCAGTCGAATTGCCAGTTTGACGCGCCGTTATTCACGCAACTTGTCGGTCGGTTTGTCATTTTTTGTCAATGATTCCCTCGGAGGGGGGGGGGGAGGGGAATGCTGCGTCGCGGAACGTTGCCCGACAAACGCGACATTCATTCGAGATCAAAAGAAAATTAAGCGCGTTTAACGCAATGCAAATTAAAGGGGAAGATGGACTCAAATAATTAGTAAATGTTTCAGCATTTTTAGTACACTTTTAAATTTCATTGATAAAAGTGAGAGAATAAATTAAGATTTTATCGTAATATATAAAAGTAAAAATATAGAAATACACAAATCAATTATTACAGGATAAGGAATAAAACAGTAGCCCTTTCCCCCTTTACTTTGCATTTCTAATGCAGATCTTCGCGCACTTATTCTTTTAAGCGGCAGTGGAAAGTAGATACTGATCGATAATAGTCAGAGACAATCGGAATACAGATCGAATCGCGCTCTCGTTCGAGTTGCGAATTACGATCAACGCGATAACCCTCTGATCTAATTTTTCCTTATTGCTGCAAAAACATCGAAAGAATTGCATTGCTAATTTAAACTGACTCGACGCGCGTTCGTGGCATTTAATTAACACTTCCGTTGTAGATAACAATCGAATAAGAGCAAGTATACGTCTGTAATTAGTTCTTATCCACTTTATCTTCGTCGGTGTTAATAATTCTGCGAGTGTCGCTGATAAATATTTGTGTAAGCAAAAATTACGATTATCTGGGCAAGATTTCTAATAGCGAATTCGATTGTTTGCACTGCCGTTAGGAAAATATACCTTAGAAAACCTTAAAATTTCACTTAAAAAAAATAAAAAATATGAAAAATAAATTTGGACACTTTAAACGTACCTGAAGAATTTAAAAGAATTGTGAAAAGTATGCAGTATAACTTATAATATCGCGCGCGGGTTTCTTCTTACGAGAAAGTGTTATGCCGCGCGGCCCTCTAGTGGGAACTTCGACAGGCTTGGCTAACTAAAAATTACTTTAATTGTCCAAAATTACTTAAAAATTTCGTAAGTAAACTTTTAATTTCTTTAAGTAAACTCTTAGATTTGAAAGATTACTTTAAAAAACTTCAATTTCATTTAAAGTAAATTTTCCCAAGGGTGGTGCGCACTGAGGCTTGTTTGTACTCAATTCTTATATTTAACTATGTCTTAAGTACACATTCAAAGAGCATTTAGCCAAAAATGATCCGTATGGATGCTGTACAAGTTATTTTACTGGCTAAGAAATATTTTAAGAGATTTTAAGACGACCCTTAAATATAAGAATTGACTGTAAACAAGTCTTAGCCGTGCAACCGAATTCGCAATAAGGTCCTAGCACGCTTAAAATCTGTTGTATCTATACTACACTGATGCTCACTCTTTCACGCATGCGCGAGGCTCTCGTGCTGGCGAACAGATGGCTGCAGTCATTGGATCAGTCGATGCTGCTTGCTCGAGGACTCCAAGCTGTATTTTACTCGATACAAACGTCACAAAATACTCGGCACTCGATTTAGCGCGCATATATTCCTGCGCGCATACAACGCATGTATCTAGTTATTTTCTTGAGCGATCGGATTAAAGTAGAAGCGAAGACAAAGTATTACGCGGCACGGCGGCACGTGTTAGTAGTTGCGTAATCGGCGTGGCACGAAACTCACGAGCGCCGCCGTCGTTCAGTATCGATTCCGTGTGGCGGCCTGTTTGAAAGGTCTTTTCCGGGTCTGTTCTACTTTGGCTTTTTCTGCTCGAAAGATTGAAACCGAAGTAAGCGCAAGGTGTTATAAAGCCAACGTTTTAATTTGTTTATCTGAGAAATATGTATTTCTAGATCTTTTTGTTATCATAACACGTGAATTTTCTGTTAAAATTTACTCCGAAAATCATCGAATCGTGGGACAACGTGGCATTTTGAGGAACTGCATGGCAGTTTTTTGAAATTTTACCATACATTCTACTATATAGTAAAATGTATACTAACAAGAAAAAACTCTTATAAAATTCTTCGAAATGCCACGTTGCCTCACAATGGCATGGTTTTCGTGATAAATTTTGAGAGAAAATTCTCTCACACAGTGTAGGAAATTAATGTGAGAATCAGAATAAATTAAGTATTATATTATATGTAATGAGAAATTATGATTATAATTAGATAGATGATATTATAATTAAAAAATTTTAATTAAATTTTTCTTGAATTATGCTGCTTGCTGATGAAAAGTGGAAACGATTGTGGTCCTGCGTAATGAGCGATCCTGGCTCGGTTTGCCGCGTCCGAGGGATCCTTTGAATTTTAATTGCGCCGTATAATTTGCATTGAAAAGATTAAAACGCAAGTCAAAGTTACCACGACCCAGGTTAATTTGTTGCCGTGCGTTTTATGTACCATTGTTATGCTATCCCGTAATTTTCGCGCGACAGGCGTGGCGGTCCACGCTCAAGCATTCCCTTCAATAGACCGTCCAATAATAGACCATTAAAACACGCGGATGAGAAGCCCTTTCTAAGTACTTCCAGGTGGTAAATATACCACCGTGGCCCCGTGGCATGAGGTCAGACTATCAAGCAGCAGCCGTGACGGGCTATCATTCTCGACGAACTTGCGGTACATCTTGTTCTCTCATCTGCATCCACGCGGGGCTCTTTCTCTCATTCGGTCGTGTTTACATCGGAGGCTCGCGTCGTCTTCTTTTTCTTCAGGGGTGACAAATTTTGATACGACATTTCGATAAGCACGATCGTAAATCACAGGTAATGGCAATGAGGAAAATCGCACGGGGCTCCATCGAGAGTAATGACTTGGACATTTTTTGGCTCTCGCGGAAGCAACTTTGTATTACAGTTTAAAAGTAAAATTATAGATGGTGTCTAACAATGAGAAAACAATTTGCGTGTACTTTAATGGTAAGATTCGCGAAAATTATTATATCTCCGAAAAAGACTTGATTTATCTCACTCTTTTCTCACAATAAATACTTAAACTTACTCTAATAACTACTGATTGTTTGACTGTTTGATCGTGTCGTGTGCATAGCTCACTCAAAGCTTGGAAAACTACCCCTGCGATCCAGGTGTGTTCTCTCTCTTGTTTTACAGGGTTAAACTATTTCATCTTTCAGGAAAGTTTCAGGAAAAGATTGTTTCTCTAGGTAGCTTATCTTAAGTGCTTTTAGAGTATGTGCAATCTTGTCCCAGTTATCTTTCATCAGAAATGTACGTTCCTGATGTAGATACGTGAACGATTGTCACACGACATTCTCTATTTATTCTTTCTATAAGGGTAATCATATACAGGGTGTTAAAATTTCTGGAACACTACTTTCGACCTTTCTAATCTCTACAAAACTTTTAAGTTGTTACAGAGTATATAATAAATAATTATTCTGATTCTCTCTCTCTCTCTCTCTCTCTCTCTCTCTCATATCTGGACTTTTCTTCTTTCATATTCACAATGATAGCACTTTCCGATGTTGTTTATTACTGCCGGCAAATATCGATTCGGAATAAACTAGTTACACGATTGCGGTTGCACGTATGTATTTGAAGGTCGAAACGCGTCTGGCCGACCATGCAACGTTGCACTTCCGCCGGCATGACTTATCGCGTTGTATCACGGTCCAATTTGCGCGTGACACGTTCATCTACCAATTTGGAGTAACGCGCACGTGTTACACGACCCAGTTAACACCGGCGTTTCTGGACCATCAACGTGACATTAACGAATGATAAATCTCGTTTCATTTAGTTGTTGTTCGGAACGACAGAATGGCCGCGACTTGGAGAACGGGCGCTCCGCATAATAATCTCCGCGATCTTTCCCTCGACGCGTTACGATTCGGACGGTATTGTGAGTCGTTATCTTTCACGCGCCTCTTTATGCATCATGCTTTTGTAGGCGCGCACGCATATCACTTTCATCGGGATTTTTCACGAAACTATGTCAAGAGAATAATTTATGAAAGTTGTATCGCATTTCTGCAACTATTTATTTTTCCACAGGCGATTTCGCTCGTTTTTCACATTTTTAGATGTGCCAAAAACGGCTGTTTTGACGTAGAGTTATAAATATTTAAGAATTTAAACGGCAAGCCGAGGCCTCTTTCGCCTCATAGAAATCCCGAGTACTCGCGATTCGCAGCACGCGTATCGTTACGTAAAACTGGTAATAGAGCCACTTTAGAGCGAAACCACCTCGTGGACGACAACACCGACAACCTCGTCGCTTTCGTTCCGTTTCAAACGAGTTGCCATCCCGGTGGCCGTAACGTAGCGAGTACACGCGCGAATCTGGACCGTTTGCGGAGAGTCTTATCATTCCGCGCTCAGGATTCCCGTTGGCGAACGATCACTCCGGGTCCGCGCCTCTGGTTGCCACGCCTAGCATCGTTTTCGCATACCGTCGCGACTTATACAGCGCCCTGTAAATTACGACCATATCTCATTAACATCCACGTGTTTATTACAGCTACGCTACGCGCCATTAACGAGCGACGACGGGAGGGGGGGGGGGAGAATGCTTGAATTTAACACAAGTTTTTCGATATCTATGAGTGATCGAACAGCGAACCAACGTTGCGTTAGAGTTTCTCTGGAAATTTCTTTTTATGAAAAAAAGATTTCATAATAATGAAGATTCAATAATAATGCTGTATCTAATCGAGTTTTCGTGCCACTCTCTCTCTCTCTCTCTCTCGTGTCACTCGCTCAGAAAGGATTTCTGATAATAAGAAAATATTCTTGGCATATTAAAATTTTTTTATCGCATCTTCTCTCTCTCTCTCCCTCGAATTAAATAAGATTGAAATAAGAATAATTTAACATATATAAATTTAAGCTTGCACGGAGAGAATTTTATCTTGAAATTTTCCCTGAAAATCATGTAATCGTGAAACGACATGGCATTTTGAACAACTTTATGAGTTCTTTGAAATTTTCCTCGTAAAATGTATATTAACAAGAATAATTAAGTAAAACTTGAAAAAACTCTCATAAAATTGTTCGAGATGCCGTCTTGCTCCACGATTATATGATTTTCAGAATAAATTTTAGAAGAAAATCTTCTCGGTGTGTACTCGTATATTCTTGCGTTTAAAATAAATCTTATCTCGATGCGATTGTAACGCACGAACAAGCATTTTTTGCTCTTTATTTCTTAAAAATTTTTCACTTAAAATTTTCATATTTTTTTAATAAATATGATTGTCCGCTATATCGATCTTTTGTGATATTGTAGACCGAAATGTAGTCGCATTGTAACCGGATATCTTTTCCGCGAGTGTACAGGGATAAATATTGAGAGGCAGAAATGTCGATAGTTCTCTCTTTCTCTTTCTCTCTCAAGTAGTAATATATCGGCGATGACACAACGCGGTGCAGAGGAAAAGGACAACTCCGGCCGGACAGAATCGCGCGAAGACGCTGTCACCATCAAATTGGATTACGTCGCCGTTGCCGATCCCGGCCGCGCGCGAAGGAAGAGACGCAGGAAACGCGTGTCTGCCAGCGGGCAGCTGCGATTACATCGCGCTTAATCGACTAGAACGTCATAAAGGCAGGCGGCTTTTCTCTACCAAGATTCATTATCAGGCAACGCGTTCGCAAAGACGGGCGGAATGTAATATATTCGCGTTCGCGTACCGGATGTTTCAAAGGTGCGAAAACACCGCTAGCCGACCCTGTAAAAGAAAACCGTACAGAGAAGATTTTTGGCTTAATCCGAGGAATTTAGCGAATTTCTGTTGTAAAAAGCCGAGGTTTCGGAACCTCTACCAGCTGTAATTTCAGCTGTCGTCAGCTTGTCTCGTATTTCGCAGTTTTCGGAGGGTGCCAGTTATGTTTGAAACATCCTGTATAATTACGCATTTGACATCTTTGACGTAAACTGATATTCAATCAACCTACTCGTGACGAGGAAGAGCGAGTTTCTTACCGCGATAACCGTACGTCAAAGCGCGACTTCTTATCCCGTTCGACGACGACGAACTTTCCACAATTATAGCACGTATCGTAAATATTTAAATAAAACGATAACGCGGGCAACGGTAATACAATTTCTCCCTCGCTTCCTCGTCAATTCCCGCCCGGGTCAATTCCCGCCGATATCCATGTTTCCAGATTTCGCACGCGTGCACGCGACTCGCGCTTACGTGTCACACGGGTTACAGGCGCGTGCGTCTAGAAACTTTTGTAGTCAATAAATACGTTTAAAAAATATGTGCAAGTGAATAAATTGTATATTATACATTGAACAGTGATGGACAGAATGGTTGCAACACTTGTTTTAATGAGTTTAGGAACGCGCATTTAAATTCAGGTTTAAGTTTCAAAATATTTTCTATAGGGAAAATTTTACTCGAGAAATAGATCGTAAACATCGCAACGCAAGGCGACATACGTCTACGACAATTTTTTGTGCGTTGACTTCCGACACCTACTTGAGTCTTACGACAGAATCGTAAATGGTTACGACAATCTTTCTGCTCAGGCCCCAGAGAAAATTTAAGTCGTGAAAGTCTTGTGTATACGAGACTTAAGTTTTTCTCTGCCTTGCTATACGTTTACGACTAAGACAGACTTAGTCTGAGCAGAAATATTGTCGTAAGGGTTTGTCATTCCGTCGTAAGACGTAAGTCGATGTCAGGAGTCAACGCACATAAAATTGTCGTAGACGTA